CCTCCGTTTCTATGAAAATTGAAGGGTTTTTTTGCAGCCCACATAAACTTATACCTTGTTTATTTGGCCCGTGTTAGCCTTTGAGTTTGACACGCTTGTTCTAGCAGATCCTGGACTGATAATGAACCTGAAAGGCATCTTTCAAAGTTACCAGATATGCTAACAGGGGAACAGAACCCAGGGAAAGTCAGTGACAGAGGCAGCTTAGGGGTGAATTAGGGATTCAGCACCCAGTGAAGTAAACCAACAAGTTTAGGGGTGCTAAACCTAAGCCTTCAAGGATGAGCCTCAAGTCCTGTGCTGTATGATCCGTACAGGGCATGCCCACCAGGACTGCTCAGCCCACAGGGAGACCAAGTGCAAGCCCCACTTGTAGAGAAGTCCAGGCCATGTTCCCTCTTCTATCTCATCACCTATCTTCTAAGGCTCTCTCTGTCGGCCCCATTCTTTTCCAGACCAACGACTCTCTTGTTCTCTGGTCTTCCTGGCAGCCCTGTGGCAGTTCCAAAAGGCTACGGAGATTCCACACCTCAGCACTCCCATCATCTCATTGGAAGCCCCCCCACCACGACCACATGCACCTCCCGTTGCTGAAAATAAACAGTGTGGTGCTACGGAAATGATGCTCCTAGACAAGTACTTGAGCTCCAGCTTCCAACCAGATTGCACCCAAGTTCCTCGTAAGTAGAAATGCTTTTGTTGCCTTTGCTGCAGCCAGACCATTCTTTTCCAAATGGATATCCAATTATGTGCCCCCATTTTTTCACATGTACCGCTTAAACCCCTTTGATGCTATTAGGCAAAAACAAATCCAACTACCGCCCACCTCACTCTCCAGAGCCCTCCCATACCACACTGCTCCACACTCAATGGCTTTCTCCCCTCATCCTTCCCTTTCCCGTCCCAACATGCCAGGCTTTCAAACTTGCTCTGCCCATGGTCACAATGGTCTGCCCTCCCTTCAAGGCCCAGTTAACTCCTAATCGCCCTTCAGCAATCAGATGATACACCCCTTCCTCAAGGAAGCCCTCCCTAAAGGTCCTTGAAAGGCTCTCATGGAACCAATCCCTCACTTCTCTGACATTTGTCACAACCGGAATTTCCACTGGTTTGTGTGAGGGGCAGGTTAATGTCAGGCTTTCCAAGTAGCTGTGTGCCAGAAGAGTCACATCTGTTTTTCACTCACTGCACTCTGGCATCCAGCACCATGGCTGGGACAGGGCAAGTGCTCAGTACATTGGATAAGCGGACACATGAATGAACTGATAGGTGGATAGACAGACAGAATGAAGAGATGGGCATATGGTGGATAGAATAGTTGATGGACGGCCTGGTAGATACATGGATGGACAGAAGGATGGAGAGATGGTTGAAAAGTACATTTGATCCCAGAGTCAACCCCTCTTTCAAGCCATTGATCCCATCTCCACAGCTCTCTCTCTCCAACCATTATTCTGTCTTTTGCATTTTCAACCCTAGATCCATCTCATACCAATTATGTGACCTTGGGCAAGTTGCCTAATCTGCTGAGCTTGGTTTTTTTTTCCATTGTAAAAAGATGATAATCCTAATAGTTACCACAACAGGACTGTTTTGGAGATTACATGACATAATCTACATACAACCCAGAGTACAGTGCCTGGCTGCCAGGAACACCGATGATTGTTAGGTGCTCCTATTGTTCTTATCGTTATTACTATTTCAAACCCTTCGGCCTTCCTTCAGCACTGCTCCCCCCTTAAGCTGCTACTGACCTATGTCTACCTTGCATCACCAATGGCTCCAAACGGAATCCTCCCCTTGCTGACTTCGCATCCTCACTCTCTGCCATTCCCCAGACGCTGTGTACAGGCGTCCCCCTACAACTCTACTGAAATGGTTCTCCTCGAGGTGACAATCACACCTGCCATCCTCTGCTGAGCTAACAATCTGCAACATGCCATCCTGTGTTCCATCCTGCCTTAAGCCCTCCTTTCCAACCTTAGTGCCAAGGTCCGCTCCTGGTTTCCTCTTCCAAAATTCCTGGTTGTTTTCTGCTTCGAGTCCTTTTCTTCTTCCTGCCCCCTAAGCATTGGCATATCCTGAGACTACACACACAGAGACAAATACTGTCCACTACTCCACACTTCCCCCTTAGCAATGCCACTGACTCCTACAGCAATACTATCTGCCCTCTGTGAGTGGAACCCACACCTTCATCCTCAGCTGTGTATATGCCCCACAAGTTGCATCATATTTCCTGATGGCACCTCAAAGCCATTACTTCCCAAACCAATCCCATCAAACCTGACCCTACTCCTTATTCTGTGATTTTAGTTAACAGACCCAACATCAGCCAGGACCAATGCTTAACATCCCAACTCCTTCCACTGCAGTGGTCCACCAGTTGAGAAGAATTATTTTTTGTGCCATAGCTCTGTGCCTAGACTGTGAGCCCCTGAGGGCATGTAGCTTGCCTTCCTCCCCCCTTACCCCCTTCAATCCCATCAAACCTGACCCTACTCCTTATTCTGTGATTTTAGTTAACAGACCCAACATCAGCCAGGACCAATGCTTAACATCCCAACTCCTTCCACTGCAGTGGCCCACAAGTCCACCAGTTGAGAAGAATTATTTTTTGTGCCATAGCTCTGTGCCTAGACTGTGAGCCCTTGAGGGCATGAGGCTTGCCTTCCTCCCCCCTTACCCTTTCTCTATTCTCCACAAGATACTAAAGAATGCAACAGGAACCTAATAAACACATCTTGAACTGAAAAGAGTAACAAGGAATTCTCTCATTCTCTGCTGGTGGTTATATAAATTGGTGCCAGGGCTTTGGAAGGCAATTTATGGTAAAGTTGGGGGTGATTATACCTCATAACCCAGAATTTTGTTCCTGGATATATGCCCTGGAGAAATTTCCCCACGCATCCACTAGAAGACTTGTACAAAAATGTTCCTAACCAGGGGGTGGGAACCACCGGAGAGAGGTCAATGCAGGAAAAAGGAGACATATGTAAGACTTTAAACAATAAAAAAATTTTTTTTTAAAGTTCCTAACAGCACTGTTACCAAGAGTGAAAAATATAAACCCCTCAATGCCCATTATATCAAACACTAGAAGACTTGTACAAAAATGTTCCTAACCAGGGGGTGGGAACCACCGGAGAGAGGTCAATGCAGGAAAAAGGAGACATATGTAAGACTTTAAACAATAAAAAAATTTTTTTAAAAAGTTCCTAACAGCACTGTTACCAAGAGTGGAAAATATAAACCCCTCAATGCCCATTATATCAGAAAGTAGCTGGCATACTAAAAATTAGGATAATTAAAGGAGGAGTTAAAAATGGATTATTTGGGATGAGCTGAGTGTAGAAAAATTACAAAAGACAGTTTGGTGGCCCAAAGATAGAAAAGCAGAGCCGCTGCCTCCCTACATCTGAAAGGAGGAAGGGAGCGAGTAGTTACCCAACTCTGAAAAGACCTAGAGGAAAGGCTATCTTGAAAGCAGTGAACTTGGGGTAAGGACTATAACTAGCTCAGAGCAAGTCCACAGGGAGTAAACTGGGGGAATGAACACCCTTCCTCTGCTTTCTGGTGGGGACTCCCCACTGGCTGACCCCAGGGGAAAGCCAGAGGGCA